GGGCGGGGGGGGGGGGGGTCAGCGAAAGGAAGCAGGCAGGAGACGCAAGGTGGGAGAGGCAGGAAGGAGCAGGGACGGTGGGCTGAAAGCGTTGACTCTGGGTTCAGATCCCAGCTTTGCCTAGCATGCTGTGTGACTCTGCGAGAGTCTCTTGCCCTCTCCGTGCCCTCATCCGTAGCGTAGGTGTAGTGGCAGAACCACTCTGGAGGTCTGGTGTGAGGGGTCGATGTGTTCGTGCTTGCAATGAGGTCAGAGTCCAGCCGGGAGCTGCGTGGGCACAGCAGGGACCAAGTGAGGTCGGAGCCTAGGCGGGGTGAGGGGGCACAGCCACGGAGCAGCCTTGGTACGGGGCGGCACCCCATCTGTAGTTACTACCGTCCCTCGCGCATACGGGCCAGGGGTGGGTCTGGAAGCTCAGGCTGCTGCCAGGCCGGGTGACAGGCTCTGTGCTGGCCCAGATATGAGCACAGACATCTGCCTCGTGCCTCCAGAGCGAGGGGGTTCTACTCAGAGAAGGAGGGGCCCAGAGCCTGGACAGCGCGGGGTTCACACAGGGGCGCTTATGTCCAAGCTCGTGCTGCAGCACCTAGCGCTGTGACCTTGGGACATTCCTCCTCTTTCTGCCTCAGTTACAGCCTCTGTTTCCCCACCCGTAAAGTGGGGGCATCTGGACGATGCTCTGTGGGGGCATGCCTGCACTGTGCACGGTGTCCCGGTCCCATTTTCATTCACGGGACGCCTAGCAAAGCATAGAGAAGGGCGTGCGGAAGCGGGTGATGGCCTCTTAGGGCAGGCAGGACTCAGACCTGCAGGGACAGGAAGCAGTGAGCAGACGTGGCAGTGGGATGATGCCAAGGCCACACAGGGCAGTGAGGGCAGCGTCCACGTGGTCAGGGGACGGTGTGCAGAAGACGGGGAGTGGGTGGGGTGGGGATGGCCACGTCCGTGACATCCAACATCGTCGATGCTGGGAGAGTCCCCAACTTTCCGGTCACCCTGCCTCCGTAACTGCCATCATCCCACCTCCCAGCAGAGCATTCCCTGAAACAGTTCCCAGTAGTTTTTCTTTCTGACAATAAGGCGTGGCCATTGAAGAATATTTAGAAGATACAGAACAGTGAAAAGAAGGAAATGTAGACTATCCTGAATCCATTTCCCCAAACAACCCTATGTCCATTTCGGTCCATTCCTCTCCATCTTTGTCTGCACACATACACGTATGTTTATAGTACTTTCCTAGGAATGCCACATGTGTACGGGGATGCAACTGTAAGAGTTGCACCCGCAGCAAATGGAAGGTCAGCCCCCCTCTGGCTGCCATCCAGGACACGCGCAGGAGACCCAGGCCTCCGGCTCCCTCCCTATCACCAGGTCTATGGGGCGTGGGTCCTCCATTCCAAACTGCTGGATGCGAGTCTTTCACACCCCACCTTTGTAGACAGGAAGAGACTTCCTTTGTCCTTCTGGGACACCACCAGCCTGCTGGGGCAGGAGGCACCTGTCCTGTGTTACCTCCCCTGCCCCTCGTCCCCAAAGCCAGATACTTCCCACAGAGGGCCCTGGTTGGTGCCAACACACACCAGTTTGATCAGTGGCTCGGTGACAACAGTGTAGCCTGAACACTCACCAGCAAGTCACTTCCTGAGCAGCAGCCCTGACATCCTGAATGACAGTCACTGTCTCTGTGCCCATGACTAACCAAGGTATGGCTTCTGGCATTCACCGTGACCACGTGCCAAGAGTCTGGCCTCTGTCCAGTGGACGCCCTGTTCCTTGAGCTCTTGCTCCCAAGCCCGACTCTCTGGTTTCCCAGATGACTCACCCGAATCCCTCTCTGGGGTCCTGCCCCTTCCTTTCCATGGCGCACCCTCAAACCATGTGTCATTGACTTCCAGATCGCCGAGAGCAGCCTCGCCTTCGAGAAACAGAGAGCGAAGGAGGCCGTGGAGAAGGAGAAGAAAAAAGTGCAAGACCTGGAGAATCGCTTAACCCAGCAGAAAGAGGTGTGGTCTCAGAGAGGGAGAGCCAAGAGGAGGCCAGTGCAGTGCAGGGCAGGGCTGGGGAGCCAGGCAGTCTGAGTTCAAATCCTACCTCTGCTCCTGTCTGGCTGTAGGACTTCAGACAGATGGTAACTTCGGTTACCACCTCAGGGCCTCAGTTCCCCATTCACAAATGACAGGTGATACCAACAGGCCAGCCTTGCTGAGTGACGGTGCGCCAGCTGCTGACTCACGCACAGCACTCCCGGGCACTCGGGGAGGCCCACGGTGCAACATGACTGCTGACGCACACAAAGCACATGCAGGCACCTGCCCGCACTTGGGGAGGCCCAGGTGCAACGTGGCTTCTGACGCATGCACCACGCTCACGGGCGAGCACCTGCACTCGGGGAGGCCCACAGTGCGACATGGCTGCTGATGCATGCACAGCACCCGCAGGCGAGTGCTCGCACTGGGGGAGGCCCATGGTGTGTGCTGGCTGCTCCCATGATTGAACTTTGGGGCTCAGAAATGTAGGGTCACGATCTGCACCCAGGACTGTGCGGCTCCCAACCCTTTCTGGTCCCAACGTGGCTGGAAAGTTTCACCCTCTCTCCTTAACCGTCCTTCAGCTGCCGGGCGACGGCAGGGCATGGACACATGGACTTTGACGTCAGTTTTCCCACCAGAGCATCTCCTCCTCGTCGTGATCAGCTTCATTGTCGAAGTGCATTCTTGTCCATGCTGGGAGGCCATGGGGCTGAGGAAGCTGTTGCACAGACCCTGTCCTGGGCACTTCACAGACAGCAGGACACAGTCCACTCCTCCTGGGCTCCAGCAGTACAAGGGACATACACACACATACAAAACGACTAGTGTCTCAAAGCCAAAGGAGGTGACACACACATACAACCTGGCACTAATGGGTCGAATTTAAATATAGGTAAATATTGTTCAAAAGAATTTTCCAGCCACATTGGGACCAAAAAGGTCTATAATCTATCCACATAAGTCTTGGATAATGGCTTGGCCTCAATGGCACACTCACTAGCGTGCCGACCTGCAGTGCTGGCAGCCACATGGCCCACCAGGGGTTCCGATCCCGAGTCCTCCTGAAGCCCACTGGTCTGTGCACGCAGGATCCTGATGAGCTGGAGGCCTGAGAAGGAGGGACTAGGGCACCACAAAACCTTGATGGGGGTACTCCTTTCTCTTGTGCACATACACACGTGCTCTCCCTCGAAAGATACTTGTAAAAGAAAAATCTTGGATCATTTTCTTCAAAGAAAGGTTCTCCTACTTTAGCAGGCATTAGAATCTCTGGGGAATTTATTTTAAATGCCTGTTTCTTGGGCCTACCCTGGGTGTAGGGTAGACTCAGGAATCTGCATTTTTTTCATTTAAATTTATGTACAGTCATTCACTATACATCATTACAGCAAACAAAATGAGCTTTCCCATCCAGAATACGCTGTATATTGGCTCAATCAAGCACATCAACCCACGTGTTTATCATCAACAAATGATTTTCGGGAACCAGCAGTTAGCGTAATGGCTACGTCACTGGACTCCTACGTAGTCGACCGCGGTTCACGTCCCGGACCCGGTGGTTTAAAACTCACGCTGGGTGCTTGTGCATGCGTGCCCAAGATCCCAAGAGGAGAATGGAAGAGAAAGGATTGTGGCGTGGCCATCCCCCCTGGGGGGTGATTTCTCGCTTTCTGTCTCTATGTCTCTCTCTGTCTGTCTGGTGAGCGCACGCGCCCTATAGTGAAAAAAACCTCTCCAAAAAAAAGGAAAGAAAATGATTTTCCATTTCTTGTTTCCTGTATATTTTCTTATTTTTGCCATCCTTGATTCCCTATCTCTCACCCTCTGCCGTGTCTCACCCTCCTCCCACACTGTGTCTGGTATCCGTGGTTGCTTTGTATGCCTTCCCCCCCCCATTTTATTTATTCGCTAATGAACTTAATTCATCTAAATTCTTCCAATAGCAAGCAGCTGATAGGAATCTGCATTTTTAACAAGCAGCCCAAGGCAGGTTGGTGCATTTTAAACACTGGGAAGTGGTGTCTGTACAGCACAGCTGGGTTATAGATGGGCACAGCGTACCACTTTGATCAGCCGTGACTAACTGGCATGTGTCCAGAACATACAGAGCAGAGGGACATGGCGAAGACTTGTCAATGCCGTGCTGCTGGAGTCACAGCGTGACTGGGTGGAGGCCCTGTGCTGCCGGCTGTCCGAGCCCAAGAGGAGCTTCGTTTCCATGCTGCCTTGTTTCAAGGGTCTGCCATGAAATCCATCAATGAGGGGTAGGGGAAAAGGAGAACAGTGAGTTGCTAAAGTAGATAACTTGAGCCGTCGTGGATCGGGAATGAGACTCATGCAACACAGAACATGTATCACACAATCCATGAGAGAGTTGCAGTTTCTTCTCGAGCAGTTCCAGTGCAAGAGAACTGAGTGCATGATTTACTAGACAAAGAAGGACAAGACACTTGTGGAAAGTGGCCCATTCTCAGGACTCGACCTGGAGAGAACTTCTCCTGCAGTCAGCATATGGAGAATTCTGCATCAGGCAACATTCTCAACAATACCCTTAGAACATCAGAGGATGTGGCATGGTGGTTTAGGGCGCCAGACTCCCACATGGCCGACCGCGGTTCGAGTTTTAGACCTGGCAGCTTGCTTTCTCACTTTCTCTCTCTCTCTCTCTTTCTCTTCCCCTCCCCCCCCACTCCCTCTCTGGTCAAATTAAAATAAATAAAATAATTATTTGGAAAAAAAATAATAACATTGGAGGACAGGGTCTTATGGAGCCACCCTCAAAGTAGGCTGGTGGCTTCACACCACAGAGGAACAGGCCTCCACCCCAGGGACTCACCACATACCAGGAAAGACCAAGGAAGCCCAGGGTCACAGAACCATGCCGACCAGAGTTTCCTATTTGCGTACCATTTCACTTGAATGCAGGAAAGCGCGATTGAAATATTGATTTCATCTACATGGGCGAAATAGAAAACGGAGGGCAGAGAGAAGAAAAGTGCCTTCAGACCCTGCTTCACTGGGAGCAGTGAGCTTTGTCATCCCGCCCTTGGGCAAGCTGTGGAGCAGGGATGCCAGGCTGTGCGTTCCGCCTTAGGTAGGACAGCTTCGTGGTCCACCAGAGAAGCCATTCCAGTTCCTTGTGGCTTCTCCAGGACACCTGGGGTGTTTCACTGAGCTGTACGTGACAGCTGCCTCTGTCCCCAGCAAGCGTCTCCTTAGGCCCTTCCGCCCATCATCCTCGCTGGCATTTCTCAGCAATAACAGCGACACTGAGGCCCTGAGAAGGAGGCAGCCAGAGCTCAGCAGTGGTGCAGGGAGGACTAGGTGACCGCCCGTGAGGCCTGCAGGAATGGCACGATGAAAATGTATTTTTATTTTTTCAGGAAAAAAAAATTCCGTTTCCTTTCCTGATTATAAAAGGAATACTTGTCAATCTGGAAAGTTTGAAAAATACAGAAAATTAATCAGAAGAAAATAAAAGCTAACCATGATTCTAAGCAGCATTTCCACAGTGACATTTTGAGTGACTTTCGAGCGTATTACAGACGTCGATAAGTATTAATTTAGTAGGAAGTTAGGGTTTTCCACTGTAATACTGTGCACATGGCCGTGGAAGCCTTTTTTGTGGTCGTTTGTTTATTTTATGAGAGAGAGGCAGCCCCGATCGGGTCTTCCTACTGCACTCCGCCCCTCTCAGCAGCTCACATTATGGGCACAGGCAGCCTGGTATGCTCAAGGTCATCCCAGGAATCGAACCCAGTACCTTTCCCATATGGGTCCAGTTGTATTACTGCTGCACCACCACCTGACTTGGAAGCTGTTTTCATACTTAATCTTGTCTCTGTGTCACAGGACCATCCCCCAAACCTGGGTGGCACTGTGTTGGACGGACCCTGGCTTATCCCTCCCCTGTGGCCGGGTACTGGGGCCACTGCTCCCTTTTCACTGGTGTAAAGGTGCTTGGCCAAGCAGCCGGCGCATCGATCTACACGCTAAGGATAAATTCCCGGAAGCGGGATGGATTGCTGCATCACAGGAGACAAACATCTTCAGACTTGCCATACACGGTCCCAGATGACACTCCAGGAAGGTCGTGCCGGGTCACACTGTCACCGACAGAGTCTGAGAATGCTCAGTACTACATCTCAAGAGTATATTTTAATTGGGACTAAATCTTCATAAGCCCCCTGGCCATGCCTGTCAGGAAACCCACATTCCACCTTATTTAAGGAGTGACTCGAGGAGGAGAGTAAAATTTTGACGATCAAAAATCCAGGAGGGTGGATGTGCAGAGGACATGGCGACTGGAGTCCAGCCTGGCCAGGCCTCGGGGAGGGGTGGGTCCCGGAGGAAAGTGGAATGTCCTGAGGGCAGGTTGCGTGATGAAGGGCTGAGGAGCTCCACACATTTATCCAGAGAATAGATTTGCAGAGACATGAGAGCCCGCCTCCGATATTGAGGGGCTGCCTCATAAAAGAGAAATAAAACTTAGTGAGCTCCAGGTGACAGCACCGAGCTCAGACACCAGAAATCACAAGGAGGCAGCTCAGCTGAATATCAAGGAGAGCTCTGTGATAACTGGAACCTTCCAGAGAAGCCATGGACTTTGCACCGTGAAAGGATCAACAGCCTAGTGACAGAATCGGGTTCCCCTCTCTCTGAAGGGGCGGGTTGGGGCGAGGCGAGGGTAAATGTTTACTCCCGAATGGCTTGCTAATATGATGTTTGTGGTTTGTCTAGGAAATAGAATTGAGAGGGCAAAAAGAGGACGTTCTAAATAATAAATTAAATGACGCACTGGCCATAGTAGAAGAGACTCAGAAAACAAAGACAGCTGCAAGTCTGAAAGCAGAAAGCCTCACCGTGAAATTAAATGAAACATTAGCTGAACTGGAAACAGCCAAGACAAAAATGGTGAGTCAATGTCTTCCAGGGATGGGAGAGTTTCCGTCTCAATGAAAGGTTACAATGCCACGAGAATGCGTGTCTCGGGCCAGGGCTCCTCAGCCTCCGCACTGCGGGTGTTCTGGGCCGAGTCACGCCCCCTGGGCTGACCTATGCCATGTAGATGTTGGCCAACACCCTGGGGCTCTACCCACTAGGGGCACTAGGCCCCTGCCCTCAGCTGGAGTAACCAAAACTATCTTCAGACATGACCAAATGGCCCTTGAGCACGGGTCCCTGCCCCCTGGTACCAGTCTGTGGCCTGTTAGGAGCCGGGCCACACTGCAGGAGGTGAGCTTGGTCTGTATTTACAGCCGCTCCCATCCCTGGCTTCACTGCCGGATCCCCCCCTCCGCTCAGGGCAGCGCGGCCTTCCATAGGAGCACAAGCCCTACTGTGCGCGTGCGAGGGATCTGGGCTGCCACTCTCACAAACCACCTCATGGCCCAGTCTGTGGAAACATCGTCTAACACAAAACCAGCCCTGGTGCCACAAAGGTTGGGGACTCTGCTTTAGAGGGCAAAATCACCCCCTTTTGAGAAGGAGTGTGCACTGTTTAGAATGCAAGGTGTACAGAGGCGATGTGCCCTCCTGCAAAACATTCTCAGGTGGTGTAACCTGGGTCCTCACGGGAGCGGGCAGGACTGAGGAGTCGTGGGATCCAGTGGTCAGTGACTGTTCCACACACTTTTACACAAGGCCCTAAAGCTCAAGCTTGGATATGAGGTCTCCACCGTCAGGGGCTAGCGCTGACGGTGGAGAACATTCTGTCATCCGTATGTTCGGCCAAGTCTGTGGGCCAGGAGGGATGAACACTGATCTGCCGGCAGTGAGCAAAGTCGGGGCTGCGATCGGAGAGGCCAGCTCGGGTGTGGCACCTGGTGGCTGTTGCCACAGCCTAGAATCATAAGGACCTAGACACTTGGCGGGG